CTGGGCTGGAACCGGCCCGCGGGCCGTAGGTTGCCGGCCCCTGATCTAAAGGATGAAGCAAAGGAAAAGAATGCCAAAGGACTTACAAAATTCTGGCAGGCATAACTATTAGTGATGGATGGATGACAGAACAGAGTGGGATAGTGCTTCTTTTAAGTGCTTGCCTTTTGCCACTCTACTCAGAGAAGGGGATGGTTCCATATAGTACTTACAAATACATATACATATACTTATGTACTTATATACATTGAGCCCTGGATAAGTCGACCCAGGTTTTTTGGATCAATTTTTTACTAAAACTTTTAGACTTATACATGAGTATATATAGTACTTAAATAAAACTGTTCTAATTTGAACAATGTTATTTGTTAAAATGCTATAAAATGTTAAAATATTAATATACATGAATATGTAAATGAAAATATGCACACTAAATAAACAAAATATTTTTATTCATATACTACAGCGAGTGCGGTGGGCATGTGACATCAAAATGTAGATGTAAAGGGGATCACAAGGGTAAAAGCTTTGAGTACCATTAGACTAAATTAAAGTCTGTCATCCCATACTATAAGTCTGGATCCTGATGCGACACTTTCAGTGAGGGACTGAGATTTGTTCCCGAAAACTGGAGAGTCCTCCCCCTGTGTTATCATTGACCAAGAACTGAATGGACTAAACTAAAGTAATTCAAAGACCATTATTCCCCCTTGACCTGGGAATGAAAATCAAGAAGGACTGATTTTCAGGCCTTGCTTTAACTCTTAGGTGGTGGATCTTTACAAGTTTGCAAAACAAGTGACCCTACCTAGTTCCTGTGAACACACCAATTACTTCTGCTCACTAGAAGTGTACTTGTTATTACAACAATCCACCAAATGAAAACTACTGTTTCTATTTGGGTTGGCACAAAACCATCTTTCACATCTATACAAAGCTAAAAAAACTCTGAACACTTTAGCATTTTCTGAGATCCAGTTTACAAGAAAAATGTTAAAAGAAGAAACCCGTGAAGCACATTGTCAAAGTTAACTTCCCAAGCTATAGGAAAAATATATATCTTGGTTAGCATTTCAGCTGCATTAGCTAATTATTTCTATAAATTTCATGTGCAAAATGGAATAAGAGAAACGAACCCCTTTATATACTTGAAGCCCAAAACAGATGTCTCTGCCCATTGTGTGTTATGTGTTGGAGAACTGTCCATTCATTTTATTATAAACAAA